CCGCAAGGCACTACAGAGGGTAGTGAGTACGGCCCAGTACATCACTGGGGCCAAGCTTCCTGCCATCCAGGACCTCTATACCAGGCGGTGTCAGAGGAAGGCCCTAAAAATTGCCAAAGACTCCAGCCATCCTAGTCATAGACTGTTCTCTCTGCTACCGCACAGCAAGCGGTACCAGAGAGTCAAGTCTAGGTCCAAGAGGCTTCTAAACAGTTTCTACCCCCAAGCCATAAGACTCCTGTACATGTAATTAAATGGCTACCCAGACTATTTGCATTGCCCCTCCCCCCTCCTGGCTGATGTCTGTCACGCTCACTGACAGATCAGTTTGTTGCCAACCAAGAGGTTGAGGCCAGGTGAGGCTGGATCCCAAGTGTGCTCACCACAAAGGAAGCTTAGTAGTTGTCACCTAATGTTATAAGCTATCTTGTAATCAGAAAAGTTCAGTGAAGGTACAGTGAGCTACTGGCAGCTAATTGCAAGTAAGTTACAGTGCATTTTACAATAACTCACTGACATCTGGCTGCCAGTAAGGTTGCCAGGTAAGCTACCAGGTGGTTACTGGCAGTGAGTTGCCACTGAGTTACTATCAGTTACTGGCTATTACATGACTGTGGATTTTACAATAACTTACTGACAGCTGGTTGCCAATTAGGTAACGCAAAAATTTACAGCAACTTCCAGGAAACTAACTTCCATTAAGGTACTGTTAAGAGGTTACTGTGCATTTAACAGTGCAGCTTTTTAATGTCACATGCCCTTACAAATATGGCAGAACTGACAGTGTAAAAAGAGGTGCTCAACCTTTAACACTGGCATCAACCACTTTAACACTTCAACTGACGGTGGGCACAAATACACATATTTTTTAATCATGCCCCCAAATATGCTAATTAGCCCACCCCACCGGTACATTGCACCCACCTACATTTCAAAGCACAGTGATGATTGTACCTTATATTCAAAATATTGGGTAGAAAAATTTCTTATCCGCACATGTACCCTAAAAGAAACTGACCAGTACCATGTGAGTGCCTATGAAGATAACTTGTGTGTACCTTTTACCTTTTTGTACCCCAGGGAACAACACTGTACCCTAACTTGGAGAGTGTGTGGATATGTTCTTGGTAATAAAGATGTACCTGGTGGCACTGCGGAAACATTAATGCACTTCTGGCTAAAAGCTTGCAAGTTCAAATCCCCAACTTTATTTTTTTGGGGGAAGGGGGGATTATTTAAGATACTATTTGAAGAAGTAGGGTTTCAGGTGCTTTCGGAAGATGGGCAGGGACTCTGCTGTTCTAGCTTCAGGGGGAAGCTGGTTCCACCATTGTGGTGGCAGGAGAGAGAGAAGCGCTTGAACTGGGCTTAGCGGGAGCTGCCCTCCCGTAGGGGTGGGAGGGCCAAGAGACCAGAGGTGGCAGAACAGAGTTGGGGTGTAGGGTTTGAGCATAGCCTGAAGGTAGGGAGGGGCAGTTCCTCTTGCTGCGCTGTAGGTAAGCACCCTAGTCTTGTAGTGGATGCGAGCTTCGACTGGAAGCCAGTGGAGTGTGCGGAGGAGTGGGATAACATGGGAGAACTTGGGAAGGTTGAAAATCAGGTGCGCTGCAGTGTTCTGGATAAGTTGCAGGGGATTGATGGCACTAGCAGGGAGCCCAGCCTACAGCGAATTGCAGATTGGGACCTGTGCTGCTTCCTGTGTGAGGTAGGGTCGTACTCTACGGATGTTGTAGAGCACGAACCTGCTGGAGCGAGTCACTGCTTTGATGTTTGCAGAGTCAGGCCAAGGTTTTTTGCACTCTGGGCAAGAGTTCATCAACTGTGATGAGAGGTCTGAGCGGGCAGGCCTTCCCCAGGAGGAAGAGCAGCTCCGGCTTGTCGAGGTGGTGGGCCGACATCCAAGCTGAGAGGGGTGGGGAGCGTCTGTAAAGCCTACAGGGAGAGGAGCGAACAGGTATAGAAAACACACACATAGTTGCCAAAGCTACAAAAGAGCAAAATGAGATAATCAGAAAAAATAAATAGGTAAGATACTCAAGTGAGAGAGCAGTGTGGGGCCTTCCTCGCTTTCTTTCCTCGAAGAACTCGGCAGAACCTTCTATGTTTTGCCAACGAGACCGCTACTTACACGACCGCCACTTAGAACTGCCATTGAGAAAACAGGGTAGACTGAAGTGCTAACACTAACTGCTAATTGCCTAGCAGAGGTGAAGAGCGCACCTCCCTGTACTAATTGCTGATTGCCTAGGAGAGGAGAAACCACTCCCCCTCCAATACAGCCACTGATTACCAAAACAAGTCACAAATTGCCCTGCCCTTTGATCCTGGTTGATGTGTCAACAATCATCTGCAAGTTAGTTTGATTCATATAGGCACATTCTTCTGTTCTCCTCTACCCTGCAACTCTTCCCCAGGTCCTTGGTGTACAAGAGATGTGTTTTCTGTTAATATAACTGGTAAAATAATGGTTAATAAACAACTCTAATGGGGCCCCATAAAATTAGTTTTCTCAGTTTTATTTTTGTTTGTTTAAGATTTTTTATTCACTATAAATATTAAAATTATTAATAGACAAACAACAAAAATGGATGTTCTGAGTGCATGTCAATGCTTAAATCACATCAGAAGACAATTCTTGAGGTCTGGAAAAAAGTAACATTAGTAACATTTAAACTAATCCAATATATTAGTTGGATTTATTGCACCCATTGCTGAAATTGTTGTTTGAGTTTAGATTGTTTACAGTGGCTTGCAAAAGTATTCACCCCCCTTGCCATTTTTCCTATTTTGTTGCCTTACAACCTGCAATTAAAATATATTTTTGGGGGGTTTGTATCATTTGATTTACACAACATGCCTAACACTTTGAAGAAGCAAAATACTTTTTTTTGTGAAACAAACAAGAAATAAGACAAAAAAACAGAAAACTTGAGCGTGCATAACTAGTCAATACTTTGTAGAGCCAACTTTTGCAGCAATTACTGCTGCAAGTCTCTTGGGCTATGTCTCTATAAGCTTGGCACATCTAGCCACTGGGATTTTTCCCCATTCTTCAAGGCAAAACTGCTCCAGGTCCTTCAAGTTGGATGGGTTCTGCTGGTGTACAGCAATCTTTAAGTCATTCCACAGATTCTCAATTGGATTGAGGTCTGGGCTTTGACTAGGCCATTCCAAGACATTTAAATGTTTCCCCTTAAACCACTTGAGTGTTGCTTTAGCAGTATGCTTAGGGTCATTGTCCTGCTGGAAGGTGAACCTCCATCCCAGTCTCAAATCTCTGGAAGACTGAAACAGGTTTCCCTCAAGAATTTCCCTGTATTTAGCGCCATCCATCATTCCTTCAATTCTGACCAGTTTCCCAGTCCCTGCCGATGAAAAACATCCCCACAGCATGATGCTGACACCCCCATGCTTCACTGTGGAGATGGTGTTCTCGGGGTGATGAGAGGTGTTGGGTTTGCGCCAGACATAGCGTTTTCCTTGATGGCCAAAAAGCTCAATTTTAGTCTCATCTGACCAGAGTACCTTCTTCCATATGTTTGGGGAGTCTCCCACATGCCTTTTGGCGAACACCAAACATGTTTGCTTATTTTTTTCTTTAAGCAATGGCTTTTTTCTGGCCACTCTTCCGTAAAGCCCAGCTCTGTGGAGTGTACGGCTTAAAGTGGTCCTATGGACAGATACTCCAATCTCCGCTGTGGAGCTTTGCAGCTCCTTCAGGGTTATATTTGGTCTCTTTGTTGCCTCTCTGATTAATGCCCTGCTTGCCTGGTCCATGAGTTTTGGTGGGCTGCCCTCTCTTGGCGGGTTTGTTGTGGTGCCATATTCTTTCAATTTTTTAATAATGGATTTAATGGTGCTCCGTGTGATGTTCAAAGTTTCTGATCTTTTTTTTACAACCCTACCCTGATCTGTACTTCTCCACAACTTTGTCCCTGACCTGTTTGGAGAGCTCCTTGGTCTTCATGGTGCCGCTTGCTTGGTGGTGCCCCTTGCTTAGTGGTGTTGCAGACTCTGGGGCTTTTCAGAACAGGTGTATACATACTGAGATCATGTGACAGATCATGTGACACTTAGATTGCACACAGGTGGACTTTATTTAACTAATTATGTGACTTCTGAAGGTAATTGGTTGCACCAGGTCTTATTTAGGGGCTTCATAGCAAAGGGGGTGAATACATATGCACGCACCACTTTTCCGTTCTTTATTTTTTTGAATTTTCTGAAACAAGTAATTGTTTTCATTTCAGTTCACCATTTTGGACTATTTTGTGTATGTCCATTACATGAAATCCAAATAAAAATCCATTTAAATTACAGGTTGTAATGCAACAAAATAGGAAAAACGCCAAGGGGGATGAATACTTTTGCAAGGCACTGTAGGTAGTCTCATTCATTCACCTTTCTAACCCTGGCAGTCATTCTGAATTGTGGGTGAATAAAAGTTCAAATTGTTGGATATCCCCACTCAGGCTGGATTCCAATAGGAATGATAAATCATTGGTCAGCAGTGTCCAAAACACAACGAAGGCTGGTCACCTGCTAAAACATAATAAAGGCTGGTCACCAGTGAAAACACAACGAAGGCTGGTCACCAGCGAAAACACAACGAAGGCTGGTCACCAGCAAAAACACAATGAAGGCTGGTAACCAGCGAAAACACAAAGAAAGGCTGGTCACCAGCAAATACACGACGAAGGCTGGTCACCAGCAAAAACACAACAAAAGTCACCATGTCTATGCTGTGTTTTCAGCAGGGTACACACACACATACACACATGCAAAAACTCTCGATCATCCTCTCCCACGCAGTAGATTTCCCATACTGTACACACACATACACGCACACACACACAAACATACATGTACACACACAAACACACACACATACACAAACACGCAGCCCTGACCTTCCGTCGGTGAGATGGTACAATGAAGAAGGTCTCGATCTGGTGTTTGAGGAGGAAGGCGTTTCTCTCCTGGCCGTTGCCAGGTTCTACCTCATAGTCTCCATTCAGGGAGTCCAGGGTCGCCTTGGTGATGTGGACCTTCCTGGTGGAGAAGGAGAAACACAGAGTCAGCATCATGTGGTGCTACCTACCACTGTTGTGCCTTCAAGCAAGGTACTTAACCACTAATTGCTCCAGAGGCTGTGTTGTATGTCAGGTTGGGTACTGTGACAGCAAATTTTGGCATGGCATGTTGATAACTCGCACTAACCCAGGCAGTCCTCCTGCCTCCATCACGTTGGCCAGTGTGACATCGTTGGACCACACGTCATACTGCCACTTCCTCAGTCCCAGGACCCCACACAGCACCCGGCCTGTGTGGAGACCCACACGCATGTTCAGATTCACCTCCGTGGCCTCCGCTACTGATCTGCAGGAGCATGAGGAGGGTCATTACAATATTATAACATTGACACTATGTGTGGGAGGGTTTGTGTGTGTGTGTTTGTTTGTGTATGCGTGCGTGCGTGCTTGCCAAGTGTCAAGTCCCCATGTGTACCTGTATGCATGTGTGTGTGTGACTGTGTGTATACGTGTTCATGTGTGTGTGCATGCTAGGGTTGCAAAACTACCGTTAATTTACAAAAGTTACCTGAATTTCCTACTGCAATCTATGGTAACTTTGGTAATTTATGCTTGAATAACTTTTTACAAAATTTAGTCATATACAGCTTTCATTTGTTATATCTATGTCCATATTATCCATAACTTTCTACTGGATAGACCATATATATGGTTTAAGAGAAAATAGCCTATACAATGAAAACAGCATCGAATCAAATATGGCATTATTTTCAATTAAATCTGCAACTCTTCCAACTATTGACTTTTTTCACAACTGCCAACAGTTTGGTGACAAAACATTTACAACAAAGACATATTGACATAGTAAAATGAATAAAAGTGTGTAAAAAAATATAAAGGATATTTCATGCTGAAACCCTCATATTAAAGCAATCAGCAGTTGAAACAATAATGGATAATAATGGAGATAATAATTGAGAAATGTAACCACTCTCACATTCATAGACAAAGCTATAAATGCAAGGACTGGCCATCCATGATATCGAAATGATAATTTTAACTATGTTTTGAGGCTACAGTGCCTTGCAAAAGTATTCATACCCCTTGACATATTCCACATTTTGTTGTGTTACAGCATGAATTCAAAACTGATTAAATATAAAACATTTCTAACCCACCTACACACAATACCCCATAAAGACAAATTGAAGTAATGTTTTTAGAAAATGTATTAGCTAATTTATTGAAAATGAAATACAGAAATATCTCATTTACATGAGTATTCACACCCCTGATTCAAAATTTTGAAGAAGCACCTTTGGCGGTGATTACAGCTGTGAGTCTTTCTGGGTAAGTCTCTAAAAGCTTTGCACACCTGGATTGTACAATATTTGCCTATTAATCATTTTAAAAATCTTCAAGCTCTGTCAAGTTGATTATTGATCATTGCTAGACAGTCATTTTCAAGTCTTGCCATAGAATTTCAAGCCGATTTAAGTCAAAACTGTAACTAGGCCACTCAGGAACATTCAATGTTGTCTTGAAATTGGGAAGGACTGCCTGCTCCATGATCTCGCCATCACGGTTGACAACTCCATTGTGTCCTCCTCCCAGAGTGCAAAGACCCTTGCCGTGACCCTGGACAACACCCTGTCATTCTCTGCTAACATCAAAGCGGTGACCCGATCCTGCAGGTTCATGCTCTACAACATTTGCAGAGTACGACCCTACCTTACACAGAAAGCGGCACAGGTCCTAATCCAGGCACTTGTCATCTCCCGTCTGGATTACTGCAAACTCGCTGTTGGCTGGGCTCCCTGCCTGTGCCATTAAACCCCTACAAGTTATCCAGAACGCCGCAGCCCGTCTGGTGTTCGACCTTCCCAAGTTCTCTCATGTCACCCCGCTCCTCCGCACACTCCACTGGCTTCGAGTTGAGGCTCGCATCTACTACAAGACCATGGTGCTTGCCTACGGAGCTGTGAGGGGAACGGCATCTCCTTACCTTCAGGCTCTGATCAGACCCTACACCCAAACGAGGGCACTACGTTCATCCACCTCTGGCCCATACCTCTACAGAAGCACAGTTTCCGCTCAGCCCAGTCAAAGCTATTTGCTGCTCTGGCACCCCAATGGTGGAACAAGCTCCCCCACGACGCCAGGACAGCGGAGTCACTGACCACCTTCCGGAGACACTTGAAACCCTACCTCTTTAAGGAATACCTGGAATAGTATAAAGCAATCCTTCTACCCCCCCCCCCCCCCCCCCCCTCCCCCCCCCCCCCCATAAAAAAAGAAGAAAAAAAGTGGTTGTCCCACTTGCTATCAGAAGTTGAATGCACCAATTTTAAGTGGCTAGATGTGCCAAGCTTATAGAGACATACCAAGAGACTTGCAGCTGTAATTGCTGCAAAATGTGGCTCTACAAAGTATTGACTTTGGGGGGGGGGGGGGGGTGAATAATTATGCACGCTCAAGTTTTCTGTTTTTTTGTCTTATTTCTTGTTTGTTTCACAAGAAAAAATATTTTGCATTTTCAAAGTGTTAGGCATGTTGTGTAAATCAAATGATACAAACCCCCCAAAAATCCATTTTAATTCCAGGTTGTAAGGCAACAAAATAGGAAAAATGCCAAGGGTGGTGAATACTTTTTCAAGCCACTGTACCAATCGGTGCCCTTCTTTGTGAGGCATTGAAAAACCTCCCTGGTCTTTGTGGTTGAATCTGTGCTTGAAATTCACTACTCGATTGAGGGACCTTACAGATAATTGTATATGTGGGGCACAGAGATGGGGTAGCCACAATTATTGAACACGGAATGAGTCCATGCAACTAATAATGGGATTTGTTAAGCACATTAACTCCTGTTCTTATTTAGGCTTGCCATAACAAAGGGGTTGAATACTTATTGATTCAAGACATTTCATCTTTCCAACATTTTCTACAAACATAATTCCTCTTTGACATTATGGGGTGGTGTGTGTAGATCAGTGATACAACATCTCAATTTAATCAATTTAAAATTCAGGCTGTAACACAACAAAATGTGGAAATGTGAATGCACTGTAAGTTGTGCTTGTTTACATTTACCTTGTTTACAAACATTGGAGTAAAAAAGCTTACATTCTGGGTTCTGATGGGGTACGACAGTTGAAATAAGCTCATGAGGCATTTATCAGTTATATTCTTCAAGAACATATCATTAATTTATAAGTGCAAAAATGTATGTAGCAACTGAAGATTGACCCTTTAAACACTAATGGTATTCACTAAGTTGATGGTTTATATTTAGTATAATGCTTTAGAGTTTGTCATTCTATATATATATATATATATATATATTTAATCATCTTATTTGATTATTTTATATATTTGACATTTGATAAGGCCACACAGAGGGCCAGAGATAATTACAGACACCTGTGATAATCTGAATTACCCAAAAAGGCCACTAGATGTCATGTGATACAATTCCATAAAATCCTTGAAAGTTACCACATTTCTGGCAGTTTACTGGTAAACTTTGAAAGTTACCAGTAACATACCCTCCCTTTGCAACCCTAGCGCGTCCACTCTAGCATTACTGTTTACAAATCATTTCTTGCCTCCCCATATTTTATTCTGCCATGATAAATGGTGCTGCCCCACTCCACATAATAATACAGACAGGCCAGGCAGGCCAGGCAGCACTGAGTTCTAACATCCCTCCCAGCCTCCCATCCTCCCATCCTCCCCCTCTCTGTCTGGAAGAAAAAGTGCACATGTTCTTGAGAGATAAGCCAGAAGGAAAAAATGGTAGCTACTTCAGATTCTAAACAGTTTTTCCTCTACTCCTGTCTGTTAGGAAAGTAACGTTTAAGAGAATGTGAGAGTACAGACAGAGGAAAATTCCACCAGTAATGATGGAGCAAAGTGAGGTTTAAGAGCAGTATCTAGGGTCTAGAAACTCAATAAACAGGGCAAAATGCTACACTTGTCACCAATATGAATTTGAATTAATATGAATATACCGCTAACATAAGAAGGCATGTGTTTGTATTGTGCATTGTAACCCTATATCTGTCTGTTTTAAATCCCTGGGTATATGGGTCTCTGTATCTACAACCCCTATTTTGTATATAGAGCTATATAACACCAAGCCAACGGCCATGCATTTATCACAGAATGGGATAAGGCTCATTGAAGTGTTGAGCTCTTTCTTCTTTCTCCAAATTGTGCAGGACATGCAAATGAGACAATCACTTTCAAGCTTCATCAGGAAGCATCCAAATGTATTTCCATTCCCTCTCCCTCAAATGGCAATCCACCCTCTCAACTCCATCTATCTGCAGTGTTGGCATGTATTCATAGAATCCATTGACAATTTCACTAAGGAATCCTTCAGCCTGGACTTGAACCACAGTGGTTTAGAAGAATAGAGAATAGTAATATCCCCAGTCCTCAGTCTCACTTTTATCCCTTGTCAAACCAAATGATTCAATATAATGGCTGAAAGCTAGTCAGCAGGCTCATTCCTGCTGCCTAGCTAAACTCGCTGTTATTATCTATGCATAGTCACTTTACCCCTACCTACATGTAAAAATGACCTCGACTAATATGTACCCCCGCACATTGACTCGATTCCGGTACCCCCTGTATATAGCCTCATTATTGTTATTTTATTGTTACTTTTTTATTTTTTTACTTTAGTTTATTTAGTAAATATTTTCTTAACTCTATTTTCTTAAAACTGCATTGTTGGTTAAGGGCTTGTAAGTAAGCATTTAATGGTAAGGTGTTGTATTCGGCGTATGTGAGAAAGACTTTTGTATTTTATTTGATACAGTGATAAAGGGATATGTGATATGGTGTCCATCACAAATCAATGTGACTGTACCTACATAATACTGTCAGAAACAGATGTCAACACTGACCCTAACATCACGATGACTCATGTGGTTTATCAGGCAACCAGTAACATGACGTGTTTACCATGGACGACCTACACAAACGTGTAGCTCAGTTGGTAGAGCATGGCGCTTGCAATGCCAGGGTTGTGGGTTCGATTCCCACGGGGGACCAGTATGAAAATGTATGCACTCACTAACTGTAAGTCGCTCTGGATAAGAGCGTCTGCTAAATGACTAAAATGTAAATGTAAATAACACCACATCAGTCCAGGACCTGGCCCAGAACAGGACGGCGTAGAGAGACAAATGTCCAAGGAGCTAGCAAAGATGAGTGAGAGAGTGAGTGTCTACCCTAAACCTATAGACTCACGTGATGGTGTCAATCATGTCCAGGCCCATCTCCACACAGCAGTGGGCATGGTCAGTCTTGGGCTGGGTCAGACCTGACACACAGTAGTAACAGTCTCCCAGGATCTTTATACGCCTACAGTGGTTCTCCTGTCAATCAGAGAGAAATGGGGGCAGAGAGAGAGGGAGAGGGGGGAGAGAGAGAGAAAGAAAGAGAGGGAGGGAAAAGGAGAGAGAGAGCTTTCTGATATTCAGAGCAATATTGAGACACAGACAGTGTGGGGGGACTAGATACATAAAGTGCATTAATTTCTTAACGGTAGAACAGATATGTATGAAAATACCCTCAAATAAAAGGTGACATTCTGTACTGTGACCTCGTATAAAACATTCAATCTCAAATCCCAAATGCTGAAGTATAGAGCCAAATAAAAAAGCTTTAGCTTCACTGTCCAAATAAATACGTAGGAGAGTGTATATACACATAAATATCACATAAGCTTTCCAATATTCAGAGCAGTATGTCAGATTGCAGCGAGGGATTGCTGACAAGATTGCCTTGTGCCTTCTATCTCATATTCAAACCCTCTCTATCTAATATCCATTCCCCTAAGCCATTCAGCGCACATTGTGTATGTTAACATCAAGAAACTCCGCCCATCTGAATTAGGTCTTGTGCATCCATACATGCAGCAATGTGCAAATACACTATAGCATACAGTTTGTAACAGTTTTGCTTCTGTCCCTCTCCTCGCCCCAACCTGGGCTTGAACCAGGGACCCTCTGAACACATCAGCAACTGCCTCCCACGAAGCATCGTTACCTATCGCTCCACAAAAGCTGAGCAAGAGCAAGGGAAACAACTACTTCAAGGTCCCAAAATGAGTGACGTCACCGATTGAAACGCAACTAGCACGCACCGCTAACTAGCTAGCCATTTCACACCAGTTACACATATCCTGTAGGCTACTACAGGATACAGCACGTACACACTAATGTGAACGTTGCAAGATGTACTGTACAGTACTAATCCAACTTAAAAAAGGAAATGCGTCTGAGTGCAGAACCATAACGGTCCCCTCTCCATCATATCATCTGATCAGTGTAGTAGAAGTGTGTAGATGTGTGGCCTGGGGTGGTATAGCGGTCTAAGCCGCTTCCTCTGGAGCACGTGTACCGCTGCCAGCAGGGGTTCGAATCCGGCCCACTGCTCTTTCAGCCCTCTCTCTCTACCAAATAAACATACAAAATACAACAACAATAAATAAGCGTGCATGAAGTGAGTAACGCTGGCTGGCGTGATGTGAAGCTCTGCTCTGGGATGAAAGGAGCATTGGAAGTGTAACCCATCATTAGGGATCTGTGAGCCACAGAGTTCACAGTGAGCTAGGGGTTGGTGGGCTGAGCTGCTAGGGGGTGATAACATAACCCAGCTCCCATTGTTACTCCATGGAAGAGATATGATCGTGGGCTGAGCAGAGCATGTGAACTGAAAGACTCATAACTATGCTGTGTGCCACGGAAGAAAGAAGTGGTGATAGATGCTCTATTTTTAATGTGCAAGTCCATTGGTGTTGAGAGAGAGAGAGCTTGTTAGCAGCATAAAATACAGTTTCCTTCACATAATTTTACATACAGGCTTAACACTCGCTTTGTTATTGCTCAGTAGTACTGAGGGCATACTTCTTTCAAGTCAGATATTGATTAAGATTAAGATATTGTCTTATATTTAAAAAATATATAGAGAATAATTTGAAGGGAAATTCTGTCTTTTATATGAGCTTAACAGCCATGGTGAATTATGAAATTAATAAGGGGAAAACTGATTTGTCTTACACTGTTAAAATGAAGTTATTTTTAACACCAAAACTAGTGGCAACTGAGCTGCCACCAACGCGAAGGAGACAAACCTGAACTTTTCTGGAATATTGAAACACATCATCCTGAGATGTTGTGAAACATTACATGGTGTGTTGTAACACCACTTAATGAAGTGTTGTGCAACACCTTGCCAGGGACTGGGAGCAGTACCGGAAATTGTTGAAAACACTATTTTGGTGTTTCAAGTTTTGTTTAATGCAGAATTAGATACCTTCTCTTATGGTGCCGTTTCCTCTCTAAAGCTCCTAAACACTATAATGGTGTTTCATATCCTGTCTAGTACAGAATTAGATCACTTGTTCTGGTGTATTTTAATGTTTAACATTGAATTATGTATATGATAATTTGCCAGTTTAACCCATTTTGGCAGGCATTGTTGAGCACAGTGCTCAATCTAACAGCAGTAACTAGAGGTTTTACAGTAAGCATTGCGGAATACTCTATTTGAAAGTTGGAAATGTGGGAATGGGTCGTCTCATCATTGAACGTCATTTTGCCTGACGGTTTTGATATCCATTCATCATGATCCATTACACCTCATGGCACCACAAGCTGATTAATACTAATACTAAGTATGCTTTCTTTTTTCAGATATGCATACAAAATTGTTTATAAGAATCCTAACGTCCCCCAAAAAAATATTACCCACCATCCTGTAAAACTGGAGCCATATGGCAAGATAGGAAGCGCAATGAGATTTAACCAGACTTCCAATGAGTTCAATAACTTAATTTGCTCTATCTTTGGTTATCCTCATAAAATAACTCAAGACATCAGTCAGGAAGTTAAAGCTTGGTCGCAAATGGGTCTTCCAAATGGACAATGACCCCAAGCATACTTCCAAAGTTGTGGCAAAATGGCTTAAGGACAACAAAGTCAAGGTATTGGAGTGGCCATCACAAAGCCCTGACCTCAATCCTATAGAAAATGTGTGGACAGAACTGAAAAAGCGTGTGCGAGCAAGGAGGCCTACAAACCTGACTCAGTTACACCAGCTCTGTCAGGAGGAATGGGCCAAAATTCACCCAACTTTTGGGAAGCTTGTGGAAGGCTACCTGAAACGTTTGACCCAAGTTAAACAATTGAAAGGCAATGCTACTGTAGTATCTAAACAGTTTATGATTTTGCTGACGTTTGCAAATGGTGTGTTAGAGGAATTTGGCTCTGCTTGCGGAAACATCTGGAAAACATTACTATAGGGACCCCCTAAGACAGAGGAGATTCGGACGTGTAAAGGCCAGGGATTGGTCTATAAAAAACCACCCATATTATGTTACATATTATAAATACCATGGTTGGAACAAAGGATGGAGAGAATAACATATTAGAGATTGGATCAGTTGTTCTCCAGATGTCTGCAGGAATCTGTAAATTGATACTGTAATCTTTGATGTAATAAACCATTATAATCAAGGACAGTGTCAGCAGATTTCTTGTCATCACAGCATATCAGCATCGTTGTCTCGACACCACAGAATGGCGACGAGGATCTCTGGGACGTGTTGCGTCTCTCCAGCGTTCCATTCATGAGCTACATAGTGACTCCCGCTCAAGACGCCGGCAGATAAGGTGAGATTTCTCACAGCTTTGGGCGCTGGTCAGTTCGTGTGCTTGTGTGTGTGTGTGCGTTGAGGAGATGTACCGTTTTTGGACTTGCGTGTGCGCTTTGCTCTTATTTGCTGTGTGATGAGAATCCGTTCTAAATTTCTAAATTTGTTTGCGTTGGGAACAACGCAAACGGGGGGAGTGTCTATAGGAATTGATAACACTGGGCACAGGGATATTTGGCTTGAATAAAATTAAAGGGAAAAGGAATAGAATGAAGGAATAGAATAAGGAACTAAGGAAAAAAGTATACTTTTAGGACGTCGCTGATTTAAGGAAGCCCTCAAATGAGGCGATCATTAGGATGGGCTGAAAATCCTGAAAACTCACTAGGTTGATTTTTAAGGTCAGTTCTGGGAACTGGAGTTTGTGGTAGATACATTCCATTGTAAGTTACCTCTCGACATATAGTTGACGAGGTAAGTGTTCGAAGTAACCTCTCATTGAATATCTGCAACTCGAGGTAGCAGAAATTTAGGCAGGAGCAATGAGAAATAAGGAGCGACGGTAGCATGCTTTAGAGGACCGTATGAATGGATGCATTCTTTTCATGTGTGTGTGTTAGGAAAGAGAGTGTGTGTGCGAAAAAAATAAATAAAGACGTCTCTGTTGTGTTTCAGCTGTGTGTCGACTCATGTTATGATAAGATTTATGTTAGAGATATATACATATATATGTTTTGGTTGAGAACAGGGGTTTTAGTTTTTGTAAGGAATG